GTGTCCAGTAGATGTGCCAGTGTGCTGGAGGCTGGGGTGTACACTGAGGCATAATGTGATGCCAGCATCTCCGCTTTTTCCTCATCTTTTTAGTGCCCCATCTTTGGCGAGAGTCGGGAGACCATGCATTGCTCTGATTCTCCTCCTGAGGTAGGCATACAATCTCTTTGGTGCTTGTACTGAATCCGCTGCTAGTCGTTCCTCAAATCTGGTTCTCTTCAATTTTTTAGTGCAGTACAGTGATTCCGAATACATCGATATTCCTCATATCCTGCGCCTGTTGCACGGTACCTGATCTAGGCTTTATTCCGCTGCCGGAGAAACGCCCGCAGTTCTCGGTCAAACCACGGAGGGCCCATAGCGTATGTTCGGTGACGGTGGTATTTTCGCCGAGGCAATCAGATACGACTAGGATTGACCTCCTTCCACCAATTGCATCTAGTGGTCACTCCGTTCTGCGTATACACTGGAGGCGCGGCATACCCCAAACGGACAGACCACGGGACGGACGGGACTAATGAAACGATTAAAACAATCTAAAGATACGGAGGCAAAAGTATTTCAAAGAAAGGTAACAAGTGCAGTGAGCAGAACATTTTACGCAGCACAATTCAAAGCTATGTTCACATCTAAACCAGTTATGTTTCCGACTGAGGGATAGAGTGCCAGATTCTGCAGCCTCATTCTATGTATATTCATTCACCTGTTCCTGAGGAACTAGGTACATTGGCCGCACGACCAGGCACTTATCCGACCGCGTTCGCAAACACCACCCGGCTTGGCTGAGGACTAGAACAATTAAGACAATTACGAGTGCGGTGTGTTTGCATCTCGTTGAGTCAAATCATTCGGTAAATGTGGCAGACGCGTTCCGACCGATTTACAAGATTCGATGCATGCAATCAAAAGCAGTGAAGCATCGTATCTTAGCCATGGCCGAAGCCGTAAGTATTCGGATTCACACACCCCCCCCTGTACGCGCAGAAGAAATTTGTGCAAGCACTTAATCTCCCCATGGCCCACTTCAGCCACTCCAACACGTGTGAAATCACTTGAAATTTTGACACTGTGATCAATTAAACTACTTGTTACTGGTTTCAGTAAAAATCACCAAAAGTACGCATTCATATAATAATGAAAGCAGCCGATTGAATCCTTGGATGCTTAAATATGTTCCATATGACTGCCAACGGGGAGAATCCTAGAGAATCTTGAAATCACTTGAACAAGTAGTTCAATGTGACTAAGACAGAAGTTATGACATTTTCCAACACGGGTTGAAGTCATAGTAATGAGATGATGGGTAAAGTATGGAGGGGCAAGGTATCAATGAGTGCATGCACATCGATAACACGTACCAGACAAAATATGAAAATATGTGGCATAATTTGCACTGGCGATGACACTGAAGATGAATGCTTCAAAGTGAACCTAGTGTGTTTGCATTGAAGTTTCTTTCTATTGTATCGTAGTGTGATGAACGGTAGACAAGGTAAACCCCGTGGTTACGTGGACCTGTTGTTGGGAGATGGAAACTGGTAACCTAAACCCCGAGCCTTAGAGTGGAGAGTGGAGAGGTTACCTCGAGGATTACATCGAGGCAGAACTAATTAAATATATATTACAGGAATGTTAATAAAACGGCCTGAATGATACTGGAGGGATTTGACGGAAGATGGAAGGACGGAATTCAGGTGCAAATCGTGTATTCCAGTCTGAGAATGCTAAATAAGCACATAAATGCCGATAGTGTAATTCAATACAGAGTGTCAATACTGAGGCAGCTGTTTTAAGTGCCAAGTTAGAAGGAGCTGAAATTCTGAAACCCCGTGTTCGGCCGATAATCTCGTGCAGGTAATGATGTATAACATTTTGGCCATCTGTGGCTTGTAGCCAATCAGATAATGAAAACTCAAGCTTTTCCCAGGACTACGAATTAGTCCACCCAAAGAAGACAATATCTATCAACGGGTAGAATTTGTTTTGTATTAGGAATTTCCAATACTATTTTTTCTAGATTGCGTATCAGAAGAGATTTGAAATTAAATGCAGAAATATGATGATTAATGGACTTCACAAATTAGCTATTGTGACTAGTGAGGAAAAGATCGGTTTCCGTTCCCTCAGCAGAATGCCAACAACATTGCTGTGTTTCACTAGCTCATATTTATCTGTTAGGTTGCCACGCAATAGCCGTCACATTTAGGATTTGAAATAAATGACCCTTCGGGGTTAAGATTATTGACAATGCCTTTGCAATTCAAAAAGGAAAGCAGATAATCACCAATAAGTTGCTATGTTTCTGGCTTTCATCAGAAAACAAAGATCATTCAAGTTGAGTTTCATACGGAAAGTAATTATAAAACACATTGTTTGATTATATGCACAAAGTGGAGCGTAGTAGTACAGTTTTCAAACGTACCACTCCATCGGGACTGAAAAGACTTGTGTGAACCACACTACCCGTTCCCCAGCTGGCATAAGGTGCCTCAAAGTCCAGAAAACCGGTATTCTGTCCTCCTTTACCGGAAGCCCAAATCTGTGAAAAAGTGACACAACAAACAATTATGCATCAAGGGATCAAACGCGGGTGCTACGGTTAGTTGAATCACCTATACTTACTAAAAATAGCTACTGTTCCCAGTTTCTGTGAAATATGCGCTTTGGTGAAAATTGACAAAAGTTATCGTAGGACTGGAATCGATAACGCAAATTTGTGATTCGTAATGAAATATGTTCTGATACTCAAGCTCATACAGTAGCTTCAGACGAACTATTTAAATGTCATGCTCCATGAATGAAATTCTACGAAATGATTTGCTAAATCACATGGGTCTTCAGGTTGCTCAATGAATTTTCGGACAAAAGTGCTCCCAACGGCCTTCAAATAATTCTGTTCATAAGTGCATTGTGACCGGCTTAAACACAAATGTAAGCTTATCGGAGTAAAAGTTTGCTGTTTGCTGCACTCTCAGACTTTCATACCATCGGTGAACAAAATTCCTGTGACGGAATCAAGGTAAATCTTGAAGAAGTTTTGTTCAAGTTCAAAAGGAAATGAGTCAATATGTGTACGCATCGTCTATAATGTCCCCCATCAAGCTTCACCGAGAACCCGCAATGCTTTAGGCTCGACCCAAAATCATTAAACATTGATCCATATTCCATTAACTAAGCCCAGCTATGATTTAGCAGTGACCCGCACTCCTTTAGCTTTGATGCACAAACTTGAGTCATACTGCTTTAAGTGAGTCAGATACAAAAAGTATCAGAATATTGTAAGTCAAGGCATGTTGCAAACTTTTATTTCCTACAAATGCTGATGTTGAAATGATTAAGTAGGAAATGAAGTGTGGCGGTTATACGCTGCACCACATGTTGATTGAAGAACGTTTAAACGATGTGCCCGTATGGTCAACCCACTTGGAACATCTTGTAGAGCTTCGGGGTTTTTCCGTATAACATGCAAGACTCCTGTGAATAAAGATCTCAAATGTAACACAGACGGTACAGTTTTGCATTTACAAACACTGAAATAAAATAAAAAGTGAATCATGCATTGTAGGTATGTGGTCAGTGGCCCGTAACCTGCAAGGAAGTCCTGACTTGGTGGGGGCTTTCAATTGGAATTAACAGGTTGTACCTGAGTCTCCTTTCTTTGCTGTCGGGAAAATGAGCTGACTGACTATCATTGAAGACAACATTTGAACAAACATGAATTGGCACTTTGGTTCAGCCAAGGCATGAGCTGGTTGGCGCAGTTGTAACGCACACGCCTTCCATGCGATGGGTCCGGAGTTCCAATCCCGGACAGGACGGTGGATATGCACTACTGATGATTTTCAATAAGAGCGAAACTCGCGTTTAGTACTTCCGACTATATGATTGAATCGATGAACTGAGGATTGTGCGTGAAGGTGAAGTCCGAAGGACAGTCAGTCAAATCAATCAATATCGATCATCCCTCACACATTACTCACAAGTAACTGAGTTAAATACGAAAAAGTGAATACTTACCGTCCCTTATCTCCACGTAGGGTGAACTCTGTTCTTAAGATATGATTAGATTAACATGTCGCGGATAATAAACACAAAAGCCACCTCCTTTAGTACACCTTTTCCGACCAAGCATTAGGCAAAACTCGTAATTCTTGATCCTCGACCGTGGTAATTATGTCAAATATTTCAGCAGTAATAATGTGATCATATTAGTGGGGGTGTACCTTAGTGAACGATGTTTATTATCCACATCTGATGACTGGAGTTCATTTTAAGTGTAGGTACGGAACGGTAAGCATTCAAATTTTTGTGGTATTACTTTTTGATTTATTTCAGGGCTTGTAAATGTAAAATAATATACCCTTCGTGTTACTCGTAAACGTTTTACTCACAAGAGTAGCGCATCTTAGATTTCCTCTGCACTACCGTCATGCGGCATTCGATTCGTCAGTAATGGGGCTATAAAGCACATCAGAATAGGCGGTAGTAATATTTGTCGTACCCTAGCAGCCACCTAACACATCTGCAATGTGGAGAACGCTAAATTGAATGGATAGAAAAGGCTCTATCGCTTCACCAATGCCGAAGACTGACGAAGAATAATTGAATGGATGCACGGGTGATGATTTGAAAGAAGTTGTAAAACACCTCGACACTGAGATCAAAACGCGTCAAGCAGTGGCAGCCACGGATCGGGAAAGAGTACTGAAGTATGCAGCTAGAACAGAATGACGTGCAATATGATTTAGGTTCCCAGTTGGTGTAACATTGGGGCTTGATATTAGTGTCCACATTCCGCTGTCATCACAGGGCATTTTCGTCCACTGCGCTGAAAATCGGCATCCTTCCGCAGGACCATCTCTCATTCGCGTACATACATGTGAGTGACTTAGTGAATGCTCGGAACTACCTCGTTCATTTAAGTGAAAATATTTAGATGCTAAAGCGTTAGTTGAAAGAATACAGGGCACCAAGTTTCGCTACATTCCTCCAACACCCCTGGTCAACCCCTCTAGAGTCCTCTGAAGAACTGTTCTGTCCCGTATTTATTTTCTGTTTACATGAATGCTCCTTCGGACATCTTTTCTGCCATAGTTTTCAATGGCCAAAAGTTTGATTTAGGAACAGAACAAGTGGGTAAAGTCAAGGCAACCATAGGGTCAGTGGCAGTTCGTGGAATAAGTCATCAAGATGTTCGCTCATTTGTGTTCAAAACCAAATCGGTTCATCATCGAAGGCAAAACGATCCTGACGAGGAGCAATCCTAGCCCACTAAAACTCACTCATCGCAGACATATTCGTCCAGGTGGGCCTTGTGCACTGTAAAACCAAGCGTATTCACTCCGCTGCAAAGGTTTGCTTCATACTTCGATCAACCGGCCCGACCCGTTTGATAGTTTAAAACCATTTTAACTTGACTTGATAAACTATCACTTTGAATAAAAAGAAACTGTTTGATTTAAGACCGAAACGTGATCCTTGAATTGAGTTGACCCTTGACGTTTCAGTGACGTTGACTTTTACCATTTAATTATCGACTTACTTACTGATTTACTTAACTACTTACTTACTTACTGACTTACTGACTGACTGACTGATTGACTGACTGACTGACTGACTGACTGACTGACTGACCACTTACCTAAAGCAAATAATTTCCCAATTTTTACGATAATAGACGAATCCAATGACAGAATAGACACTCACTTTGTTCTTCATTTCGGTCTACTTGAAAGAATAAGCAGATTGTACAGAGAATCCATAGAAATTATAACCGTGGCATAATATTCAAGGAGCTAGTTACGTGCAAAATATGGTCTTTGTAAAAATATTGTTGGCAAATTTGAACTGGGGCATCTTATGAATTCTTATGATTTAGTCACATGCTAAACTGGGATACTGCCGGGATATAAAGTTAACCTGTTTGGTTATGAGAAAACTGAGAAGAAAGCAATCATTCTGGGTTGGTAAGTTTCAACAGGTCGCTGTAATGCGTATTAAGTGCTATATTTTTGTCCAAAAACGCACTACAATAAAACAACCTGTTTTTTTGTAATACATAATCACGACAAAGTTCGTCTCAATCTTTGCTTGTTTAGAATGAGGCTTCAAACAATGATGCATCATAAGAGAACTGCTTTGTTGTTTTACGTTGCTAACTAATAGGTAACTGCTACTGAGACCAAATACAATAAAAATTGCACCGTTGTTTGTTTCCGTCGAATCATGTAGTATTTCTATCGGAAGATTGCTACAATTATGTGTTCCTACAAAGGTCGTTACTTGTTCTTTCAGTGTGAATTTTAACTGCGAGCATGTCAAAACATTGCCCACGGTAATGCCATATTATTTTCGGGTGCATTATTCATGCAGCAACGGATATCCACTTTTGACTTTGAGAACATCTCTTTGTGTCGAACGAATTTACTTTGTTCTATTATTTATTGAGCCAAGAACATTCATAACTATTGGGTCGTTAAAGTGAGCCACCTTCAAGACATATCTCGTTGTGGTTGCTAGCGCGTTGATGGAACAACAGCCTAGACATCGAAGTTCACCTGAACAACTCCAATCCCAGCCTCTCAACACATCTTTTTATTCGAATAATCCCATGATTCCTGTAATGAAATTTGAATCACTCAGAACAAACCGTAAGCACTGAACTCGTCCATGGTCGTAGTTGTTGTGATAACCGTTAGTGTCCGACTAGCTTTGCCTTATCTGGAGCGCACAGATAATAGTGCGTCAAACTTTGTGCTTAACGAGTAGTGGTTCAGTTTAGCTGTCTCACACAGCCTTATCGACCCACCCAATCGACACCGGTTTTCCAGCGCCACAAGCTGTAAGACAGGTCTGCTTCACTTCAATGCTGAAAAAGCGTGGAAAGACAGTTGGTCAAACAGGGGGTAGAAAAAAGTACGATTAATTGCCCAATGAGGTAATCTGAACAAAGGTGGATTTAACCAAGGCATTCTGTTCTAAATCCAAACATAGTTTTCCCAATCACAGTTTTAGTTTCTCAAATCAAATGTGAAATAGTATAGTTATATAATCGGGCAATCTATGTCTGACAGTGATTCATGGTGAAGGGGTAACGACGTAGTATCACGTGATCTAATAGGGCACTTCGTTGACGAGTCTGTAGGTGTATTAATGCGTGCATGTCTTCGATCGCTGGCCGCAACTTTGATTACAGTATGGGCTGTCGTCATATCGTCCTCAAACTATAGAGTCAGCGTGTCATTTTGTAACGGCCACCTATACACAGTGTCGGTTAACTGTGTGAAGTACGCTCACTCGGCTGTCCCCAAAATATCTCATCTCTGCTTGTTTTGTACTCAGTACATAGATACAAACAGGCTTCCAGGGATCGGAGGAAGACTGTGTTCTTATGCGCTTGTACCACAGGGCTGGTGTGAAGCTACACACTAATCAACGCTAATGATCTGTGATTGCCTGCAGCCGTGAAACTGAAAAATCGGCTGGGGTGAGGTCTCAAAGAGATGCGGATGTAGCGGTGCAGATGATATGGCATTGTATCGGTTCATCCGCAAAACTGATCCCAATCGATTTTGAAGGGGATGACAAGCAATGAGCTGTTTTCTACTTGTTCTGGTCTTACATTGAGTCTATTCATCTTTACCGTTTCCTATCTACACAACAGATAAACATCAGTCACATTACCATCATGTTCAATAAGGAATCAGTCTGTCAGTTCATGCATGGACACATTGATTTTGCATCCGATGTGTCTACAATAACCTTTTATATAATCCCCGTTTGTTATACTTCATTCTACCTTCCGTTCACTCTGTCAAGTGAACTTTCTAGCTACCGGTCTAATACTTCCCACGTTAAAAGAACTTCACTGTTTTAAATTTCTCTAACATAATTTTCAGGCAAAAGGTGTTGACTGAACAGCACTCAAATCGTTCTGCAATCATGTCATCAGATCATTTTTTCTACTTTTTAGTTCGATTCATGTTATTGGTAGAGATCCGATACGCAGACTTTCGAGTAGCTGTTTTTCAGTAGAATTCCACTAGAGTTTTTGTATCAACCGACCATCCCTAAATTTTAACGTGGCCGACGGTGAGATTGTCTGGTTGAAACTCCCAATAACTCAGTAATTACGATCACCTGCCTCTTTAAGGACTTTCGTAGTGTTTTGACCTGTTTCAGTTTGAACAACCATTAACCATGCTCCTTCGTGCACCGGTTTTGGATGCTGTCTCTTGGCTGCCAATTTGGATGAACAGTAGAAGAAAGACAAAAAAGTTTAAAGTAGAATAGAATAGAAAATAGGGAATTTATTCGCACTAATGTTGCAAACAAATTGAGGGGATACACGATTGCCAATGTTTATGACACTCAGCCATATGACTCAGTGTGTTTAACCACCGATTACAATTATCCCGTGGTCCCCAATCAGGGAGTCTAATGCGATCTATAAGACCGAATCTCCTAGTTATGTTTTTCATACCTTCGCGCCAAGTCTTATTTTGAACACCCTTGGTTTTGTTCCATCCACTACCTGCCTCGGCAAACACCTGATGATATACGTAACACATATACCAAACACCGTAATCTATGGAGGTCAACTATTTGCTTGAGTTAGCGGGCACGGTTACTTAAAACTCTGCGTCCAACCTGAGGATTTCTCTTCCGGCTGCCCCACCAGATTCGTGCAATGTTGCGTAGACAGCGGTGTTGAAACGCCGATAGTCTATCTTTATCCTGTTTTCTTTATGGTCGAGTTTCTATGCGGTATAGCGGAAATAACAGAACTGCTGTGGCATACATTCGACCCTTCACAGTCGGCCGGATTTCGATGTCTCTAATTGATAAATGCCAACAGAGCCTTCCGTATATTTTGACCTAGAGCGTGATATCAGATTTCGCGGACGGTAACGGATTAAGTGATGATGATTTACAATTATTTTGATTGCTTTGAGCTGACTATCCTTCGGACTTCACTCCTACGAACAATCCTCAGTTCATCGATTCAACCATACACTCGGAAGCACTAAACTCGAGTTTCGCTCCTATTGGAGCTCATCAGTAGTGCATATCCACCGTCCCGTCCGGGATTTGAACTCTGGACGCATTGCATGGATAGCGTGGACCAATAATTTATAATTAACTGACTACATTACCTTTGAAACTGTCACCA